AAGTCTTTCACTTTGATTATTTACATTCAATCCACTGACAGCCGCTGACAATAACAATCATTATGTCTCAGTTTAAAGTATGAAGGCCTTGTATAAACTCTGAGTGTTGAAAAGAGAAGTACGAGGGGCCCCATTCTAAGAAATGAGTGACAAGCTGAAGTGATTTGGCTGTTTAGAGCTTATCACATGCCTATACTTCCTCATCTTTATTTCATCAGAAAAGAAAAGCGCAAATAGAGAGTGACTCGGAGGCGGAGCTCCGACATGAATCATGAATGAACAGAGAGTAGGAGCGGAGCTCTCGTTCAGTTAACGAACTGAGAGGAAGAGCTCCGCCTCCGAGTCACTCTCTTCCTCTCAGTCAGACAGTCAGTGAGTGATTTGTGTACTGAACATACTGAACAGAAAATAAATGTGATTGTTTTAGCAGCTTTCAGTTTTGCAAACTGTGGCTTTATCTAACTAATTCTCAGCTCATTGTTTATTATTCACCACCGGCTGTTCTCAGTACAATCGCGAGCAGAAATAAACGTTCGGCCGTGTTTCAGCTTATTAAATTCTGATTCACAGACAGAGCTGCAGAGAAGTACTGAATGAATCGGTGAATGAATCGGTGAACGAATCTTTTGAACGAATCACTTTACTGAACTGATTCTACTGATTCAGTACACTGAAAAGAACTGCTTTTCACATCACTAACACACACTTGACTCCCCACAGTCTGCCGCATCAAGTGACGAGGCTTTTGTAGGTTTGGTGATGTAGTAATTCACTCCTACGTAGTACTGTACTCCACACAGCCGTTAGAGTTTTTCAAACGGAAGGGCAGACACTATGCACATTTCTAACACAGTATTTCGAATTTCAATACTTTGTACTCAAATATCGAGATTTGGACTTGGATTGATCCATAACACTACTTAATACTCAAATACAGAGGTTTATAGTTGAAAAAAGTGGTTTTAGGGTTTAGTTACTCTTTAACGAGAGCTGTCTGCCCCCTCCTCCCTAGAGTCGATGCTCATGAAGGTTGCCATGTCTCGGACACTGAAGCTTCAGTGTTTAGCCAGGTCTGCATCAGTCTGGAAACCTTTCTGCCTCTCCATTTTTCAAAAGCATCTCCAATATTTATCCTAGTTATACCTCGTTTCTGCTCACTTTAAAGTTTAAAGTTGTTATAAAACTTCCTCTTTGCCTTACTAATAATAAATGATGACTCATTAAATACTAAATTCAGAGATCAACATCCCTCTTTACAAACTGTAATGATGAGCCCTTCATATGGTTCCATGAAATTTTCAACACATTATTGTAAAGCTATATGCTGTCAGTATGCAAAAAGAGGAACAACTGACTTGCTGCACCCTGTCCTGTTGTTGAATCATATTCTTGTTGAAGATCGGTTTGCGTCACCTTTCTAATGAAACAATGTTTTTTTTTTGGTCCAGAGATATCTGGGGTTGGTTTCTCTATCTACAGGCTGAAGATATACGTGGTCTCGATCGGTCTGGTCATCATGATGTGTGCCGTCATCAGTGTTCACGTTGTAGATGTTTGGGTTGTATCAAGTCAACTTTGGTTATATTCTTTAATAATTATATATAATTATTAATAACAACATCATGAAACTATCTTTAATCACTCTTGGGGCACCACTCTGTAATCAGGGAAATATAACCAAAATATCACTCAAATCAGTCTCAAATTAGTTAATTAACAATATTATTAATAATTATATTTAATAAATTGAAGGCGTGAAATCTGTACACAAAGCCATCGCACCCAGCTTACATCACAATGCAAATACACCAGTAACCACAAACAACTGCTCTCTTACATTATAACAGAATTTATTAACAAAGCAACATCAATCCAAAATCAATGAACTTAATCAAACAAATAACTATCATAAACTAATCTAAGCAAACAAACATTATCAAGCAAGGCTTGTGGAAGAGGAGTAAGAATGGAGAATGGAGGAGGGGGAGAGAGGGGGGAGATGGCGTCGTCTCACGTGGTCGCCCTTACGATGGCGCACACCTAACAAAGACCTGGCGTGGTCTATTGTCTAAAGAGGCCGCGTTTGGCCCTGCACGATCTGTGTATCTGAGGCGTTTGAATGGCCGTGAGTGTAACTTTACTAACAGAGTTTTATCAGCTGGAATAATTCCTAAAAGACTTACAGGACCATTTGATCATTTAACAGGAGCCTGGCACGGTGTCTGAACACTCCCTCTTCACCCACGACTGCAGACCTGTACATGGATCCAACACCATCATCAAGTTTGCGGACAATACAGCGGTGATTGGCCTCATCAGCAACAACGATGACACGGCCTACAGGGAGGAGGTACAGCATCTGGCCGCCTGGTGTGCTGACAACAACCTGCTCCTCAACACCAGCAAGACGAAGGAGATCATCGTGGACTTCAGGAGAGAAAGAGGAAGCACGCACAACCCCATTCACATCAACGGGATGGCTGTTGAACGTGTCTCCAGCTTCAAGTTCCTGGGGACCCACATCACAGAGGACCTCTCCTGGTCCACTAACACCTCCAGTCTGGTTAAGAAGGCTCATCAACGCCTCTTTTTCCTGAGGACACTGAAGAGACACCACCTGTCTTCAGCTGTACTGATGAACTTCTACCGCTGTGTGATCGAGAGCATCCTGACCAGCAGTGTCTCAGTCTGGTACGGAAACTGCTCTGTCGCAGACCGTAAGGCGCTACAGCGGGTGGTAAAAACCGCCCAGCGCATCACAAGGTGTCCACTTCCTGCCATTGAGGATGTCCAAAGAACACGCTGTCTGCGGCGAGCTCACGGCATCCTTAAAGACTCCTCCCACCCTGCCCACAGACTGTTTACCCTCCTGCCCTCCGGCAGGCGCTTCAGAAGCCTCCGGACCAGAACCAGCAGACTGAGGAACAGCTTTTTCCCCAGAGCTGTTTCTCTACTGAACTCTACCCCCCAAACTCTGAACTCTGTCTCTGTCTCTCTCTCTCCCTCTCTCTCTCCGCACCCTGCTGACCCCCCTTTCCCCTCCATATCACCTCACACCCATCATCCCCCCACCACTCCTCCTGGTCACACACACACATCTCTCATCCATCTGTATTTTTGTATTATAGTATGTTCATATTCTTTAAATTATCTGTAAACTTGTATAACATGCTCACTGCATCTTAATCTGTATATTATTAGTATAGCATGCTCACTGCATCTTAATCTGTATATTATTAGTATAGCATGCTCACTGCATCTTAATCTGTATATTATAATCCTAAGAACACACTTATTTTGTAGCATTACTTATTTATAGCATTTATTTATATTTATTGCATCCCACTAATCCAGCCATCCAGATTTACCTAATAATTCACTTTTTTTGTCTACATCTGTAAATTTTGCAATTACTGTACATAGCACAGAATTACTGTACATAGCACAGACTCTTGCACTCAATTACTGTACATAGCACAGACTCTTGCACTTTCTGCTTATTTGCACTTCTGGTGAGATGCCAAACCTCATTTCGTTACTCTATACTTGTATATGTGTAATGACAATAAAGTTGAATCTCATCTCATCTCATCTCATCTCACTTTTTTCCTTCAATGATTCAAGTTTAAGAATACAACATTTTTCATAGTTTGGTTTCAATCCAGATAAAGAGGCAAAACAATTTAGCTCAACAACAAAACTCCTTTTCATTATTACCATTTGTGGAACTTGTGTTGGTTAATCTCCCACTATTTTTTATTATTGATTTTTTTAATCATTCGCTTCCTCACATTTCTCTTCTATTTGATTTTATTTTCATTGTGTAAAGCACTTTGTAACCTTGTTTTGAAAAGTGCCAGATAAATTAAGTGTTATTAAAAAGTATGATCAGGTCAAATAAATGAGTTACTCATGCATCTGCTTGTTCTGTTTTCATTAAATGTGTTTGTTTTCAGATGGAACTATAAAAGTTCAGTCTTCTTTATGTTGCACACAGGAAATGCACAACAGTTAAATCCAGACCAACGTGAGAGAACAAAGGAGTGGTTTTAACCACATTGATAGAGAAGCAACAAGACGTAAATTCTGAACTAATACACGGACATAACTACACTTTCCACCCTTCAATGTTGTGAGTTGAAGGTTTTTTCTCTTGATTTGAATCCTCAAGTTGGATCCTTTTTTCCTTTGAAATGTCTCAAAAACACAAGATGAAACAATGACCTCTGAAGGGAGCAAAGAAAACAAGTTAGAGTGTTGATAGTTGTACTTCTATATGGCAGACAGTGTGAGACAGCAGACAGCTTTCTCAAACGTGACAAACATCAACCAGTCTGCTGCTCTCACACACATTTAATATTCTGTTACCTGTTCTCTTGGCCAATCAGAGAGGAGCTCAGTACAGATTGACTGAAGATGTGATCAATCACACCTCCTCTGGAATGAATCGAGCAAGATTAAACAAAGGAAAAGATCAAGTTCAATTCATGAATTAGATTTAGTCTTTTCAGAGTCATATTAACAAAGTACATTAAGAGAACTAAATCATTTATATTTTTCTTCATAAACACTGACTCTCGAGTGAAAGGTTCACCTTCCTCTCGGCGTAGACATCAACATTTATCAAAAATAATCTACAACAGGATTTGATCAACCATACTAAAGTCCACTTGTTTATAATCTTTCATCCATTTCGACCTCAGGACCTACAGTAACAAACTCTACTCATCAAGAGAAATGAAATGGAGCTCAGAGAGAAGATAAAAAAAAAGGTTGACATCCTCAAACATTCCTCACTGTCAGTGTTGTGGTTTGACAGAATCACCTCGCAAGGCTCGCTCTAACCCTGTGGTGTGTTTGTAACAGTGAAACAGAACACACACGTTGTGGCATCCAGAACAACAGAGGCTCTATCATGTTCATCTTTATGATTCTGGGTCTGCTGGCTGGCATCCAGGCACAAGGTAGGAGAAGAACATCATCTTATTATTATAATAATGAGAATAATTATTACTTTTAATTTGTGGGGAAAAGGACAAATAACAAAACTAAAAGTTAAATCATGTGATCATCTCCTGTAACTACAGACAGATTAGGGGGAAAACAGTTCAACTCAAGTCAAGTCAACTTTATTTATGTAGCACATTTATAACAGCTGAGGCGACCAAAGTGCTCTACAGTAAATTAGGCAAAACACATTACATCCAAAACATCATAAAGACACGTAAAAGCAAAAATTAAAAGTAATTAAAACACAAAACAATAGTAAAAGTTCTAGTAGACACTGCTGCTGGCATAAAACACTCAACTAGAGATAAAAGCCAAGGAAAAGAAATGGGTTTTAAAAAATGACTTAAACTGTTCAGTTGTGGCAGCAGATCTTATTTTAAATGGTAATCTGTTCCAAAGTGTCGGAGCTGCAACAGAAAAGGCTTGGTCGCCCGTAGTTTTGAGCCTTGTTTTGGGCACGTCCAGGAGCAGCTGGTTGGAGGACCTTAGTGCTCTGGATGGAGCATGAACATGTAGTAGTTCACTTAGGTTATGAGGTGTTGAGCCATTTAATGATTTAAAAGCCAGAAGTAAAATAAAATCCTGTAGCGAACAGGAAGCCAGTGGAGAGAACGGAGCACAGGGGTTATGTTGCAACAAAATAAACAGACCCTGTCAATTATTCAGTACTCAATATTCAATATTTAACATTTCACTAGTTGAGGGTATAATCTCACTTTTTATTAGAGAACAGGAATGAGTCTTTTCAAAAAAGAAACAGTTTCACTATTTAATTTTATTTAAGACAACTCAGATTTATTTTTGAAGTTTTTATGTTCGGTAAACATAATACTGCAAGAGTGATGCAAACAATGTAGTATATTATAAAAAGATGTAAGCTAACTGTTTTCCCGGCCACTTGAAAAAGACTTCTCTGCTCCGTCTAATTTACAGATCAACATGAAGTGACCTCAGGTTTGAATTCATGATTACAAATAAATATGAGCTTCACTTGCGATACATGATTTTATCAGTTTGTGTGTTTGTATCTGTAATAAATGTAATCTAAGTGATGACATATTAAGAAAGAGGGACAGATTTTAAAGAATTTGCATGAAGGAATGACAAAGTGGAAAACCTTTATTACAGTAAATGTTTCAGTGTCTTTGTATATATTTATAAAAGTTTGAGACTTAAAACAGTTTCACTCTGAAAGCACGCTGATGAAGCTTCAGTGTTTTAAAAAGAACCTGGTTCTCTGAAATAAGAGGAAAAAAATGCCTAATTTTATCACTGAGCACAAGATAAGATATCCATAAGACGAGACGAGACAATAATGTATTTGTTTTCACAGCTTTGAGTTCTTACACAGGTGTGAGACGAGACGAGATAAGATAAGAAACTTTATTTATAGGGATATATAGTAGATGGCTCCAAAATTAGAGCAAGAGAACAGTGTAAAAAACACAACAGAGAATTAGATCAATTAAAATATAAAGTGTTAGAGGGATAAATGCAAAGAGACAGTACCTAACAAAGCAACAATAATAAGTATTCTTCCCGCTCCTTTTCAAACATGTAACTAGATTTTTTTGTTTTCTTACGCACGATTCTTTTATAGGTTTGTTTGTTTTGTTTTTTTTGACAATAAAAAAGAAAGTACATGTTTGAAATAGAGACTTCAATCAATCAATGCAATTAGTGATGACCTGGTCATTAATTATATATAATTAATAATAAAATATATGATATATAAATGTATTAATGTGAATGTAAGTCCAAGATTCATTCCTGTTTTAGGTTTGTGTTTTTAACCTTCAGTCAGGTGATCATTTTCTGTGTTTGTCAAGAACTTTAAAATACAAGTAAACAAGTGAACATTGTTAACATGGAATATTGATTGAAGTTTTTTTTAACAAACACATGATTTTTATTTCTCTTCTCTCTGCAGTGACTCCTGTGTTTGTGCAGACAGGAACAGATTTACTTCTGGAAGTGAAGAAACCTGTTGTTCTGAAGGAGGGATTTATTTACATGGAAGGTCAATGGCAGTGTAATGTTGTGAGACTAGTCATGGTGGTAAACCAATTATTTCCCAAATTATACATCAGAGCAGAATTGTCTGCACAAAATCACTCTCTACTGTTAAAGAACGTACAAAAGAGGGACAGTGGAGTTTACAGAGCAAGTGTTTCTGCTGACAAAGACATCACTGTAGCTGAATACAGCGTCACAGTTCTGGGTACGTTTCTTTAATTTGAAAATGTTGATACAGAGTCGTTCCCTGTTTTAAAAAAAGTCATCACACTTGCTTTGCTTCTTGCAGATCCAGTGTCTGGAGTGAAGCTGACAGTGAAACTCTGCAGCTCAGACTCCACTAAGTCACAGTGATCTGCAGCACTGAGGACTCTCTCATCAGCAGCACGTTCACATGTGACACACAAACCTGCTCTCACGAGGGAGGAGAGCGAGCAGAGATCATCACACCTGGTGCTTCTCTGGACGTCTACCTGGAGAACGGCTCAGCATCTGTAACCATAGCAACCAGGTCAGCTCTACAGGACATCCAAAAGATTGAAGATATTTGTAGAAAGCCTGAAGGTAAGAGTTCAAAACTACAATTTGATGCTAATAACCAGTGTGGATTGTAGCCTAAATAAAAAAACAACAGATCAAATTTCTTTGATGAAACAATATGATTTTTTCTCTAGATTTTTTAATAAAATAATAATAAAATATATTATTAATATTGCAAGAAAGAATTGCCTAGGAGACAGAAATAAGGTCACGATTAAAGACCAACCAATGTTGACATTTTCATGGCCCAATTTGTAATGCAGAGTTATCTCAGTCCATGATATTTTTTAATAAACAGAAATCATTAAATGTTCCAGAAAAAAAATATTGATTTGCTATATCAATTAACTATGGCTTAACTATGACTGTTAAATAGGCAAGATCATACATTTTCTTTTAAAGTTGAAAAGATCACTGACATTTATTCTGCACTATGACTTTAATGGTGTAACTCTGACACCTAGTGTTTAAAACGGGTACTGCAGTCCAAATCCAAAACATTGGAGAGAACTCTTTCTGCGTCCTCCGTAGATGAAGCGATGCATCTAATCCTGTCCTGAAGTTTCTAACAAATCTCCTCCTCTCTTATTGTCGACTCATGTTCTGTTAAACTGTGGCTGGTAAAATCCTATGTTCATTGTTGATCTGGTTTAGTTTGGTCGTCATAGAGAGAGGCAAACATGAAGAACTTCCTTTTTTCTTTTCACCATCATCATCATTAAATACTGAGCTCAGGCTGACACTTGAATGTGATTATTTGATTTGACACTAAAATGGCCATTAAAGAGGACATGTTATCCCCCTTTTCCCTCTTTTCAAACAGTCCCTCAGTGGTCTAAATGAAACATCTGTGCTGTGCTTTGATTAAAATATAACATGAATCAAGCACCAGAGGAGGTTTGTGACCCTGTATAAACCAGCTCTCTCAGAACGCTCCGTTTTGGTGGTTTTTACCAGAATCCCACTGTGATGTCACAAGGAGAGCAAATGTGAAACAGAGCATTTCTCTCTGTGTTGTAAGACTTATGCAGACCACAAACAAAGGACTGGATGGGTTTATTTTACATTTTGTGGGTCGGTAGACACTCAGGTTACCCAAATATATGTTCAAAAACACTGTACAAGTGGATTGTTCATAATATATCCCCTTTAAAACCAGACCAACATTGATCATCACAAACGGTCGAGTTCTTTCTTGAATGTAAAGCTAAATGCTTTCAGTATGCAAAAAGTGGAACAACTGACCTGCTGCACCCTGTCCTGTTGTTGAATCACATTCTTGTTGAAGATCGGTTTGCGTCACTTTTCTGATGAAACAATGTTTTTTTTTTGGTCCAGAGATATCTGGGGTTGGTTTCTCTATCTACAGGCTGAAGATATACGTGGTCTCGATCGGTCTGGTCATCATGATGTGTGCCGTCATCAGTGTTCACGTCGTAGAGAAGCTTAAGAAGAAAAGATAAACAACCACCTCTCCCCCAACAATCCTCTGTGGAGAGTTTGACCACTAGTAGCACAATGAAGCGACTTGTTATCTTTTTTTGACTGAACATGTGTGACCTTGTTGTGTTTAAGCTGTGTGTATGTGAGTCTGCAGGGGGCACGGTGGTATATACACACTTATTTCACAGACTTCATGCTATTCCACTGATGGACTGTTGGTGGCGGTAAAACACAGAGAAATGTAGTTTGAGGAGGCAGAGGAAGAATATCTGCAAACATGGAAGCAAATAATAAAGAGAGTAAAAATACCTGTACAATTCTGCTTTGACTTCTAAAGTTTATTAGGATAGAAGTGACTCAGCACTTTTGTAGAGCTTCATAGACATATTATAAATACCTTTTTAATCAATAAAATGTATGTAAATATAAAGCAATTGCATCGTTTCTTTACTATACACACAGTTCATCCATCACACAATACTATTATTTTAGAGGATGTTGTCTGGAGAAAAACATAAAATGCAGTATTTGTAATGTCGTTTGTCCAATTTACAATATTATTAATGATAATTATAAAATATTAATCAATGATATTTCACAGTATTTGTCCAAGCATCATATTGGACCCTCAGTAATAAACTCTCACTCTATAATATGATGTGAAGCCTCCTTTCTGGACCTTCAGTAATAACAAAAGCATTGTAAATATATTGTACTCATCGATATATTTGATGGATAATGGCTAATAGGTGAGAGAGTTTGATGTGTTTGGTGTTAATTCACTTGTTTTATTGTTTCTTTCGCTGACATGAAGTTCAGTGTGAAGCAGTAAACTATTCACTCATTCTTTAAATGTCTGTTAAAGCTCCTGTGAGGAGTTATTAACTGGTTATTAACAGACTGAGATTAATACTGATGCCTCTTTATGAGCTACACAAGCTGAGGAGATCATCATGGACAAGTCACTATGGAGGAGGTGTCAGGCCAAACTTACCTTTTTTACATTCTGCATGATAAAGGTTCATGTTGAGTGATACATTTGCTTTAAAATAAAAAGCTGGATGAGATTTCTTTTTTTTCTTTTATCCACAAGGTGCTTTAAAGTTGACACAAACCAGAAGATCCTCACTGTAGCTTAAATTAAAAAGGCTTTATTCACATTAAGGTTTAAAGAAACATTTGATAAGAAGCATCAAGATGATCAAATATTAGCAAAAACACAAATTAGCAATAAAATTATGTAAAAAAAAATAGAACGTAGCATTTGAAATATATACAGTAAATTAATTTAAAAAAATAAATATCTACATCAAAACAGTTCTATTGTATGTGTCAGCTCTCTTGGCTGAGCGTTGTCTCTGGGCTGAGTGGGTGCTTCAGAGACGATGGGAGGCCCCAACGAGGAGTAGATGTAGGGTGGAGGACCAGCTGGGGCATCATTTGTTGGTCTCTGCTGCAGAGGGAGTCTGTATTCACAGCCTTTAACACAACAACATAAGAATGGTTATTTAGACTTCTTGAAAAGCATGTTAGTACAATTTATCACAGAAAGCTACTGCTACATTATTTGTCCGATTTGTGACTGAGAAAACATCCCACAAAGACTCAGTTACAGTCAGGTCATTAAAGGGATACTTCACCAATTTGCATTAATCTTTGTATCATTAGAAACCTGGTAGTGTTTTGAATGGTCGGCATCCCGCCCTCATTTTCCCCTGAGATGGGAAATCTTTGTATTTCTGAGTCTGAAAAGAAGTTTCCAGTGACGCAAAATGACGATTTTTGTGTCACTGGAAGCTGCTAGCGGTGTGAAACTACAACGCTAGTTCCTCATATTTTCGACCACTGAAGCTACAGACCAATCACAGATCAGTGGGTGGGAACTCACTCCCAGAATCGAAACTTAACGTCCGCCATATTGATTGGAAGCTATGCTAACAGGCTCTATGGAGAAAGCTGATAATGGCGAGAAAATACAAATATAGCGGCGAGACGGCTGCTAACCGCTAGGCGCTGGGGCCGCCACGACACAAGACCGCTGGCCGCTGCCAGCTCAGCAGCCGAGACATAAGGCCTGCCTGTCGGCGGCGGTGAGGACGAGGACCCCGGGCCGGCTCGAGCTGGGGTGGACTGGTAGTGTCGGTGCTCTCACTGTTTGCCTATGGACACAGACATAGAGTCTGTTTTCTGTCAGGAATTTCCAAGATCAATTCTGGAAGAAATCTCTGAATCAGTTGAGGAAATGGTCTTATGTGTTGAAGTAAATATGTCTGTAAATGTTTTTATTACTTTATTTCTACTGCTATATTTTATATGTTGGAGAAACTGTATTGATAGAATTTCCCTCTGGGATTAATAAATTATTTCTGATTCTGAACTAGAAGACCTTAGTGGGAGTGGCCTGTGGTGCTGTGCATTCTGGGATTTGGTGTCTTTCATCCACATGAGCCAAAAAGTCACTTTCTGCCTTTCTGCCGGCCAAGAAGGCACCAACTTCAAAATGTATTTCACATTTCTACAACATATATGACCCAATGTCAATACAGATTCATGTTTCAACGGGTGAAGTATCCCTTTAAGTTCTGTGACTGAATTTGCTGGTTTGATGTCAATCAGAAAGCTATTCGGTTCAACCTGCAACACAGAACCACAACACCCCATAACTTCAAAGGTTTAATACATTTACAACTGTTGGGAAGAAGTCGTCATGGATCTAGAAATGAGCTGTGGTTTTCTTTATACCAGCCTGTCAGCACTTAGTACAAATGGACATTTTAATATGGGGTGGAAATGGGTATTTGTCAGCCCTCAGGAGCTGCAGTTTTGGGCACTTCCACATGGGCTTTATTTTCACACTGGCCTGATCTCAATAATAGTACACAGACTTTTGAGCCCACAGCACCTTGCAGAACCTGCATTTGTTGTTTTTGCAAAGACGCCACTTTTGTGAAGTTGCAAAAAATGAGGGGAAAACAAGTTTCAAAAAACAAGAGCTAGTGAGGAATTTGAAAACAGTAATGTCTCTGGCCTGTCTCTTCACATCAGTTCTCAATCATTAATTTGTTCAAGAATTTCTTCACTTCTGACTAATTTGGGAAATTGGTATTAAAAAATATTCCTCCTTACCTGAGGATCTTCATAGACGGTATTTTCCATGTTCTCTGCAGATCAGTCATAAAGAAACATGTTGAAACTACATTAACATTACTGGAGCTGATTCTTTTCTGGATTTATTTGGTGTGATTTTGAGAGTCACTTTTCTACATTGAAAAATGTATTCTGTTAATTTATTAATAGTAATGAATGCAATCAAAATGCATAAACATTTTATAATGGGGCCTCATTTTAATAGTTTGTAAATGATAAACAGTTTTGAATTGCCATCCTCAAATACTGTAAATTCATGTGAATTTAAAAGTTCTTTACATGTGATTTATTTTGTTAACATTGTAAATTGTTTATTTATTCTAACTCTAAGGTGTGGCTTCTAAGTGTAACTGCTGCGCTGTCTTTATCAGATCGCCCTGATAAGAGGATTCACTCATAAGGGACGTCTTTTGAATGATAATAAAAACATCAACACAGGGGAGAAGAATGTACTCATCTAAAGGGTCAATTCAGTTTGATGTAAACAATAAGGATTTTCTGATTTCACATTTAAATTCAGTTTAAATGCAAACTTAACTTACTTTGTTTTCTCCTTCGATGACAATATAATCCTCTAATTACAATTATAGCCAAAACAACAAGGACGATGGCTACAACAATCCATGTAACAATATTTGGGCCGTCGTTCAATACTGTAAAGAAAAAAGAAAGCCAGATTAGAAATTCATACTTGGCTGAACTCTTGCAGCATACCTGAGAGTGAACTATAACCACTCAATCTCACAGACCTGATCTGTAGTAAAATATGAAATTGGTCTAATCAACCCTGAATGGATGGTGCCCTAAAGTCACAATTTAAAACTACATGGAAGGATAGTCACCTCCTGGTTTTAAGGATCACCTTAGACATTTCTGACATTGTGTTTCTTTAAATAGATTGTTATCTCCTTTGGTGACCTGTTGTTACTGGCATGTAAATGTAACTGTTTACTTTGTCTTGACTTCTTTTAATAAGACTCTAAAGGCTGTGAGACTGAATTGACCATCAGGGATTAATAACACATCTGAATCTCATAAAATTAATTCATTGACAGTTTTTAGCTTTTAAACAATTAATGCTAGTCCATTTATATGTCAAATAATCTCTGCTTCATTTCATTTTATAGGTTAGAGGGCGTAATCACAAACAGAGAGGGAACAATGAATGACTGAAATGAGATGGATCGCACTAAGGCCATGTTTAGAAGAATGATGAACATGATGACTGGTTTGGTCTTTGTTTTCTTCTTGTGGTTTTTGTTAATGGTCTGTCATGTGTACGTTTATATTTTGTGTGTGTTGTTTAAATGTTATAAAAAATACTATTTTGACTTATTTTTTTCAAAGCTAATTGATTAACAAACTATCACTGATTAGTCTAAAATCATGACAATGTTTCTGCTGAAATTATTTCTTCAGAATTTATGAACAAAATGATCTCCTACCAACAGCTGAAACACAATGGAGAATATTTATATCATTGTTTCATCAACAACAAAAAAAGCATCTGTTGTTTTTTATTTAGGCTACAATCCACACTGTTTATAAGTGTTAAGTTGTAGTTTTTAACTCTTACCTTCAGGCTTTTTACAAAACTCTTCAATCTTTTGGATGTCCCTTGTAGAGCTGACCTGGTTGCTATGGTTACAGATGACTGAGCCGTTCTCCAGGTAGACGTCCAGAGAAACACCAGGTGTGATGATCTCTGCTCGCTCTCCTCCCTCGTGAGAGCAGGTTTGGTTGTCACATGTGAACGTGCTGCTGATGAGAGAGTCCTCAGTGCTGCAGATCACTGTGACGTTAGTGGAGTCTGAGCTGCAGAGTTTCACTGTCAGCTTCACTCCAGACACTGGATCTGCAAGAAGCAAAGCAAGTGTGATGACTTTTTTTAAAACAGGGAACGACTTTGTATCAACATTTTCAAATTAAAGAAACGTACCCAGAACTGTGACGCTGTATTCAGCTACATCTGTTGTTCGTCTCAGCAGCAACATGTGCTCTGTAAACTCCACTGTCCTCCTTTTGTACGTTCTTTAACAGTAGAGAGTGATTTTGTGCAGACAATTCTGCTCTAGATGTATAATTTGGGGAAATGGTTAGGTTACCATTAATTAGTCTCACAACATTAACACTGCCATTGACCTTCCATGTAAATAAATCTGTCTCATTCAGAACAACAGGTTCCTTCACATCCAGAAGTAAATCTGTTCCTGTCTTCACAAACACAGGAGTCACTGCAGAGAGAAGAGAAATAAAAATCATGTGTATGATTAAAAAAACACTTGAATCAATATTTCCATGTTAACAATGTATCACTTGTTTACTTGTATTTTAAAGTTCTTGACAAACACAGAGAATGATCACCTGACTGAAGGTTAAAAATACAAACCTAAAACAGGAATGAATGTTTTAATATACTTTAATTTACACTCTGATATTGAGACATGCTACTCACACACAAAGGCCAGAAATACAAACATGCACAAACAGGACCTTTGAACGTGCACTAATAGAGAGATGTCAGAGTGGGACTGAAACACAGGGAGCGCGTCATAGCTGTTAGGGGATGATCAGTTTGAATTGGAAGAGGATGAAGAAAGCCGACTTGATTAGGTGTTGAGGCTCCCTGAGCAGCTGCTTGAGTGAGCAGTAGGAGCGGAAGCAGGTACAACTTTTATATATTCCTATTGTAATTAATGCTCTTAGTATTGTTTTAACGTACAATAATATTTTCCTTTCTCTAATATTCTGTCAGGTTGTGTTGCACGTCGTATGTCATTATCTGCTGTGCTCTTGTACGATGCTTTCAGTGATAATAAAAGGTCAGAACTGAACATAACTGGAGTCGGGTTTGTGTGAAAGAGTGAAGGAAGGGTAGAGGAAAGGATGATGGGATGTAAGGATGTATGTGCACAGGGATTTTGTGAAGCCTGCGGACACATGGATGAAAGCTGTAAGTAGCTTGAGGGATCAGAGCAATTTGGCCGGAAAGAGACCTGGAACGTCTCCAACAGATGAACTCCCATACAACCTAGGTCCCTACTGATGTTACTACCGCCCAGGGTCCGAAATTAACTTTTTGACTCACGGCAGATGAAAACATTCACCGCCCAAACATTATACATCTATTTTTTTACCGGCCAAAATAACAAATTTTGTTTTTGTGTCCTATACACATCTGTTACAGTACATTTAATTGAGGAGGCATTATGTTCTGTTTAATCAATAACACATTTAAGTCACAGATTTGATCATGTCATCAGATCAGGAAATTGAGAAATTGTAAAAAAAATATATATCTGCCCGGCCTTTATTTTTTTCTTAATGTATTACTTGTAGGCAGTAGTTTACCACACCACCACACCACACCACACCACACCACACCATCACACCACACCACACCACCAGTTTAAAGTATGAAGGCCTTGTATAAACTCTCAGTGTTGCATTAATGAAAAAACAGATTACATTGTTAGATCTAACTATCATTAAAGCCGTGCAGAAGGACAGATATTTACAAAAGACACTTCAACAACAGGAAACATACACTAAATAAAGTTCTTACCTTGTGTCGCACATAAATGCAGCAGAGAAAAGAAGAGAAGCACGAGGGGCCCCATTCTGTGAAATGAGTGACAAGCTAAAGTGATCTGGCTGTTTACAGGTATAAACCTGTCTAACACTGCCCCTCCAATCACGCAGCATCTACGAGTGAGGTCATTCAGCCATGTGTCCGTGAACTGCATGAAGCAACACTCTAGGTATTCCTCTGAAGCCGGCTTAAAGAAGGCACGGATGGTTTGAACCGTCTTTTCCTTTCCCGACACTTCACTTCGGCTCTGCAACTGCGGTCAAGCCAGCCGCTCCTCGAGTTTACCTGGTGAAGTGAGCCGCTCCTAAATCTGAATTTCCCACGTCTGGTAAATGCTCCGGACTCCAGAGCGAGCAGGCAGAGAGAACGAGTCCGTTATTAATCTCCTTTTCCTGGCAAAAGTGATGAATGGGGGCTCAGTGCGCACCTGAGCAAAGGAATCTCTCCTGAGCTGAAGGTGTGTTGTGTGTGTTTAGTGCTGCGACCAACATATCTCTTAGCTTACCAGTTAGCTGCTTCCTCGTGGCATAAACAAATGAGACAGACACAAACCCTCCATACTCCAGCAGAGAAACACAACCGGTTACATTGGCACTCCTTTTAGACCAGGGGTGTCCAAAGTGCGGCCCGAGGGCCATTTGCGGCGCTTGAGGGGATTTTTTGCGGCCCCCGTGACTTCAAATGAAGAATCAGAAGATTTTGGCCCGAGGCCTTGATTAAGATCGGCACATTATCTTATTTTTCTTTTTCATGTTAACAAGGGCTGAACAATATTCCTAAAATAGAAAATGTTCGGTAACATGTTGTTGTTGTTTTTTAAAAATCTACAGCTTTTACTATTTTCCACATTTTTTGGTAATCTATGAACAAAAAACATGTACAAAGTTTTTGCAAACAAGCAGACTGTTGTTTAACCATTTAATGACCTGAGCTAAATGAAGAAAGCTTTTCCAAAAATATGAACCACGTTACAGACTGGATTCTGAAAAAAAACAAATAAAGTAGAACGAAGAAATCTAAATATTTGATTTCCTTTTATTAAAGGGTTTCTTTAGCGAGCCTTTTGATTCTGATCTACAAAGCCTTACTATTTTGTCATCTATATTTTAAAAAACAAAACCTGCGGCCCGCGAGCCACTGTTTTAGACAGTCATGACTCACAGCGATATTTACAGAGGACAAGGACGTAACTGAGTTGAACATTGGGAGGGGGGGATTTCCGCCTGTGAAGCAGGTCTGAGGACATGCCCTGCATGACCATTTTTACCTGCTCATCTGAACCCTCTCCACAGACTGGAATGCTGCTCTCAGCCTGTCTCTCTCTGTGAGGAAAATCACACGATCACACCTATGGATAACTAAAACTATGTTTTTAGCTGCTTAACAACAACATTTGAACTCTTTGACCTTATTACATGGTCACCTGTGCCTTCTCTCTCTCTCTGATCCCTCTGTCTTCCCTGCTTTTGCTGCTACTTTCACCTTCATTCATTGATATTTATTATCAATAATTATGATATCATATTGGGTGGGTTGTGGTGGCTGGTTTGGATTATTGGGTGGGTTGCAACCCACCCACCCCCCCTATAAATTACGCCTATGACAGAGGATATAATGGATTTCTGCTATATTTACAGTATGTGTAAAATGTCGCACATTCAGCCTATGCGACCAAATTTTGATTTAGGAACATCACTGTATAGAATTGCTGCCTGTTTGTGTCAAAAGTACAGTTGAGCTCAGTACACGACAGTAATGTGAAGGCTGAAACTGATTTGATGCGTTACATTAACGCTCACTGGACTTCTATATTTTCTGTTTACATTGCACTCTGTTTTAGACTGCAAATCATGCACATCTGCACAACTCCTTGCACATTTTGTGTTTTATATTCTATTATATATTTTTTATTGCTTTTTATATTTCTATCTTATTCTTTTTAAGCTGTCAGCAGGAGATCTTGTGTTTTATTCTGATTCTGAAGAGTCAATAACCCTGTTTCAAGGTGGAAAACCATAACCAGTTTGGAAATCCTTTGTCCTCTTACTGACTAAACTTAAATCTAGAATCCTCTCATAACCTCTTATTGTCACTGTATAAACTTTTATTAAACACTGTAAAAATTAACATTTGAGTATTCATTTCAGGCCCTGATCCTGGGGCTTTGAGGTCGAGCACATAGCACAGTGGTTGTCCATATCAAACACTGGCAGAAAATAAAATTATATTCAGTCACATAATGTGTACAGTTTAAAGTTTATTGGCAGCTTTGTTTCTGTACAATTATATGTATTTTTATATATATATATATATTAAATTCTGATTCACAGACAGAGCTGCAGAGAAGTACTGAACGATTCGGTGAACGAATCACTTTATTGAACTGATTGTACTGAGAGAGTCAGTCCTTTAGGTCTTTTTGTGATCTCAGTGAATAACTCAAATGAGGCTTCTCACAGAGATGCAGGCCCAAGTCCATTTTTGCCTGTCTTAAGCCTGCGTGGCCCAACATAGAGAAGCTTAAGAAGAAAAAATAAACAAGCACCTCTCCCCCAACAATCCTCTGTGGAGAGTTTGACCACTAGTAGCACAATGGAGCTTCTTGTTTTCTTTTCTTTTTTGACTGAACATGTGTGACCTTGTTGTGTTTAAGCTGTGTGTATGTGAGTCTGCAGGGGGCACGGTGGTATATACACACTTATTTCACAGACTTCATGCTATTCCACTGATGGACTGTTGGTGGCGGTAAAACACAGAGAAATGTAGTTTGAGGAGGCAGAGGAAGAATATCAGCAAACATGGATGCAAATAATGAAGAGAGTAAAAATACCTGTACAATTCTGCTTTGACTTCTAAAGTTTATTAGGATAGAAGTGACTCTACAACGCTGGTTCAGTTTCATGTAGAACAACTTAGAGACAGTAATACATGCTTTTATTTCCTCTCGTTTAGATTACTGTAACTCTCAGTACACATGTCTATATCAACAGAGTCTACACAAGTTACAGCTGGTCCAGAACGCAGCAGCCCGACTCCTCACCAAAACTAAAAAGAGAGACCACATCACTCCTGTTTTAGCCTCCCTTCATTAGCTCCCAGTACATTTTAGAATTGATTTTAAGGGTTTTTTGTTCACTTATAAAGCACGCTCTGGACTAGCACCAAAGTAAATATCTGATCTACTTACACATCCGGTCGTAACCTGAGGTCATCAATCAGCCAAAGCACTGCTCACCATTCCACAATCGAGGCTGAGGACCAAAGGTGACCAGGTCTTCTCCATCAGGACCGCTGAAGTGACGTCATTAGCCCGCCTCATGTTATTGACCCTAACCCACTCACTTTACTAACAGAGTTTTATCAGCTGGAATATGTATTCCTAAAAGACATTTGATCATTTAACAGGAGCCTGGCACGGTGTCTGAACACTTTTTTCCTTCAATGATTCAAGTTTAAGAATACAACATTTTTCATAGTTTGGTTTCAATCCAGATAAGAGGCAAAACAATTTAGCTCAACAACAAAACTCCTTTTCATTATTACCATTTGTGGAACTCGTGTTGGTTAATCTCCCACTATTTTTTATTATTGATTTTTTAATCATTCGCTTCCTCACATTTCTCTTCTATTTGATTTTATTTTCATTGTGTAAAGCACTTTGTAACCTTGTTTTGAAAAGTGCCAGATAAATTAAGTGTTATTAAAAAGTATGATCAGGTCAAATAAATGAGTTACTCATGCATCTGCTTGTTCTGTTTTCATTAAATGTGTTTGTTTTCAGATGGAACTAAAAGTTCAGTCTTCTTTATGTTGCACACAGGAAATGCACAACATGTTAAATCCAGACCAACGTGAGAGAACAAAGGAGTGGTTTTAACCACATTGATAGAGAAGCAACATGACGTAAATTCTGAACTAATACACGGACATAACTACACTTTCCACCCTTCAATGTCGTGAGTTGAAGGTTTATTTCTCTTGATTTGAATCCTCAAGTTGGATCCTTTTTTCCTTTGAAATGTCTCAAAAACACAAGATGAAACAATGACCTCTGAAGGGAGCAAAGAAAAACAAGTTAGAGTGCTGATTGTTGTACTTCTATATGGCAGACAGTGTGAGAGAGCAGACAACTTTCTCAAACGTGACAAACATCAACCAGTCTGCTGATCTGACACACATTTAATATTCTGTTACCTGTTCTCTTGGGCCAATCAGAGAGGAGCTCTGTAATCAGTGCTGGATTGACTGAAGATGTGATCAATCTCACCTCCCCTGGAATGAATCGAGCAAGATTGAACAAAGGAAAAGATCAAGTTCAATTCATGAATTAGATTTAGTCTTTTCAGAGTCATATTAACAAAGTACATTAAGAGAACTAAATCATTTATATTTTTCTACATAAACACTGACTCTCGAGTGAGAGGTTCACCTTCCTCTCAGCGTAGACATCAACATTATCAAAAATAATCTACATTGTTGGAGACAATGTGCTCCATAACACTGATTTTCATTAAAATCTCTGAAAGAGTCCAACAGGATTTGATCAACCATACTAAAGTCCACTTGTTTATAATCTTTCATCCATTTTGACCTCAGGACCTACAGTAACAAACTCTACTCATCAAGAGAAATGAAATGGAGCTCAGAGAGAAGATAAAAAAAAAAAGGCTGACATCCTGAGGTTGACTCACTCTAACCCTGGTGTGTTTGTAACAGTGAAACAGAACACACACGTTGTGGCATCCAGAACAACAGAGGCTCTATCATGTTCATCTTTATGATTCTGGGTCTGCTGGCTGGCATCCAGGCACAAGGTAGGAGAAGAACATCATCTTATTATTATAATAATGAGAATAATTATTACTTTTAATTTGTGGGAAAAGGACAAATAACAAAACTAAAAGTTAAATCATGTGATCATCTCCTGTAACTACAGACAGATTAGGGGGAAAACGTTCAACTCAAGTCCAGTCAACTTTATTTATATAGCATATTTATAACAGCCGAGGCGACCAAAGTGCTCTACAGTAAATTAGGCAAAACACATTACATCCAAAACATCATAAAGACACGTAAAAGCAAAAATTAAAAGTAATTAAAACACAAGACAATAGTAAAAGTTCTAGTAGACACTGCTGCTGGATAAAACACTCAACTAGAGAAAAAAGCCAAGGAAAAGAAATGGGTTTTAAAAAATGACTTAAACTGTTCAGTTGTGGCAGCAGATCTTATTTTAAATGGTAATCTGTTCCAAAGTGTCGAGCTGCAACAGAAAAGGCTTGGTCGCCCGTAGTTTTGAGCCTTGTTTTGGGCACGTCCAGGAGCAGCTGGTTGGAGGACCTTAGTGCTCTGGATGGAGCATGAACATGTAGTAGTTCACTTAGGTTATGAGGTGTTGAGCCATTTAATGATTTAAAAGCCAGAAGTAAAATAAAATCCTGTAGCGAACAGGAAGCCAATGGAGAGAACGGAGCACAGGGGTTATGTTGCAACAAAATAAACAGACCCTGTCAATTATTCAGTACTCAATATTCAATATTTAACATTTCACTAGTTGAGGGTATAATCTCACTTTTTATTAGAGAACAGGAATGAGTCTTTTCAAAAAGAAACAGTTTCACTATTTTATTTAATTTAAGACAACTTAGAT